TCTCGTAAACGTTTACACTCGCATGGGATATTTACCACACCACAAGCTCGTAGGATCTTTCCCCAAGCTGTTTCTAAGTGCACATTATCAGGTACATTGTACACTATGGCTTGCTGAGATGATGATAATCGCTTTGCTACCTAAATAGCAATGAAATCTACTAAGCTGTTGGCCTTCCTCAAGTTGTCACTTGATAGGGTGTTAGTTTGGCCAAATAAACGGAGGGAATTTCTCCAGCGTCCCTTGAATACCATCTAAGATAGCCGTAATATTGGTTATGTCATTTTATTTTTCCTCGAGTCTTGCTTCCGTTTCGGAGACAATGTCTGAGGCTTTGATGATCGGTGTGCGTAAAATAGTCTCTCCCACATCTCAACTACAAGTTGAGGTATCCATCCCATTGCATTTAGAGACGGATCCTGAAGTAATCGTTTTAGAATTATCACCAAGACAGTCTGCTTTCGAGCGCTTAGCTCTATTTCTTCCCATAGTTAAGGCATGGACTTTAGTTTTTTCTTTGTTGCGTCAAGGATAGATTACTTAACACGGAAAGCCGAACGAATTCGCTAACCAAATATAACTTGCGTATGTACCACTATTTTTTAGATAGTACCACGTATCACAGTACACAGAATAACCGATCCAAAGCAAACGACAGAAATCACTTCAACATGTAGCACGGTTTCGAAAGTACCGCGTTAATGGTGAATATCCACTCAGTCAGTCTATAGCCACCCCGAGAAAGTGTAGCATGTACTTCAAATATAAAACATTTTGTGGCGTAAAAGTCGTCCAATACACTGAGCAATCATCCTCCATAGAAATAATGGTCATTTAAAGCACCCAGCAGCCACTCCCGCTTGTAAAAACATCTCCTCATAGTCGACAAAATGGTGATCTAAATCGTTCGGAATCCTAGCAACATCCCAACTAACAGGGGCGATATCTGGACCGCTTGGGAGCATGTTATTCAGTGACCTCCCTTCGTCCCTGGCCGAAAAAACAAATATAACATACAGCTTTCCATGTTTTTGTGGGTCAGGGAGTGAATGGCAGGGTGAATGCCCCATTCCCAGTTCGGCTTGTTTGATCACCTACTCCGTGTGGCTTTCCATAATTTATTCTTCGATTACTTCCAGATCAAGCTGATCAAGCTTCCTGTTTTAAGCTCATTTCTTTAGTCTTCCAAGGCATACCTGTTGCTAAGTGTCCTCTTTCGTATGAACTAGATTTTTTTTACTAGTTTAATCGCCTTAGCATTTTCTACTGGATAGAAACTTTTCGTCAATCTGGATTCATTGCAGTCTTCTTCATGTATCCCATATCACGGTTCCCGAATCCACGTCATGCCACACAACCGAACAGGGTGTATAGTTAGGCAACACGAGACCATTCACCGTCCGACTAAGCGGTGTCCCCGTGTCCCCTCTACCCGACTACCTTGTAGGCTTGAGGCACGTCACGGACCAGAAGCAGTCTGGTCCATGAATCGACTGTATCACATGATCATGTGTCAGATGGTTTGATGTTAGTCACCGATTATTTGCCCGCTGATCCTCATGGGCCTGGGCTTTTGGCAAGAAATCCACTCTTGCTGCCTTTCTTTCAAAGTTAGATCCAGTGGTCAGAGTGGTTGAAAAGTTAGGGTTCAGGTGTTTTTCTGTCGACACTTAGATAATGACATGTTTGCACCTCTTTTTCTGTTGTCTTGGATAGCACTGTCTTGGGCAGCCGTCAAGTCGCTGGCACACGAATACCTACCATATAGAGTGGTGTTAACAATGGTGCCTCCGCTGAAGAATTCACAGACGGACAGCATACAGCTTTCAAACACTTCGGAAAGTATGAAAACAAAGCAATCGTTCAATACTTTCCAGTACTCTTTACTTTATTTTTCCTTGAAAGCAGGTTACCGGGCTGCACATATTAGTTTGTGAGCCTGCCTGAGTTCGACACGTGGCGGAGATCATAGATGGGTTTAGGAAGTATCTCAGGACGACTCTTCAGGGTTATCAGTCTCAGACCAACGGGGTTAGGGGGTTCATATGGCCGAAGCCAGAACACGTGCTAGTGAACTTCATTCTGGGTAATGAGAATGCGAAAGTTGGCTGCGTCTCCGCAAACCTGTTCGCTTTCATTTCACATCCATATTGATTTGCTGTCGGACGTGCCAGGGGACGCTGTTGATCATCCACGCAGAAGCCCGTCTATTTATTAAAGGTCCATTGTATCTCCATTCCGTATTGTTCTGAAATTGTTACATTCCCCGGTCGATCTTCGCAACATTAACCAACGCAGTTCTCCCACGTTCATTTGTTGTCTTTTAGCTGGGTTTGACCAATATCCCAACCAGTCACGTCAGACTTTGGCTCTGAATCGTTTGCGATACCTTTATGAGTCAAAATATCCGATTCTTTAACCAGTTGGCACCGTTTGAACCAGGTCAGATTATCGTTCCAACGTAGCCTATATATTCCCCGTGCCTTGATCGCAAAGTTCGCAATGATAGTTGGCGTGCCTCCTCAGGCTGACACGGCAAATCATATCCTTCACTTCTTTCCCAGTACTATCCATCGTTAGGGGTTTTTATTCTACAGGCCATGGAGTGCTTGACAAATGGTCTCTTCTGGTCCCTTGAACAGCCCCGCTGTTGTAAGGAAAGGCACCGAATGTTTCCAGTTGGAGGAAACCCTTACTTGCCACCAAAGTTGTTGGTGTACGGCGGCTAGGACGATCTGGCTAAAGGTATTGTTTATCAATGGGAAGGTTTCCGTTCGTGATAATGTAGCACATAACGTATTCCCACTAGGCCCTCAACGCGTCTGGTTAGCTTAAGTGAGTTCCTCAGCCACTGGCAGAAGGTTACAGTAGTGGGTCTTCAACTGCCTAGAAGTGAATGGATGGTTTATTGAAGTCGCTGGTGATTACAGCGATGTCATGGCCTGCGAAGGTCTTAGCAAAGATCCTGTTGATGTTTCCCAGCGGTTGAAATTACCAGCTGGATACCTACTAACAGTTGCCTGTCGCAATGCAGAGCGGTGGACCATTATGAGGAGCCAAATGTGATGGTTTCACTCGTCACCCTTGTGTCCAGTGCACGCATCTCTGTATCAGAAGAGCCCTGTGAAAGATCGAGCCCTTTTCGCATCCCCACTGTTTTTGCTCTTGGTCATGCAACATCGCTATACATGCACGTGGTTCCCCCTCTGCCCGCATTCATCATAAGAGAAATGTCTGTCTCTTCGGTAGGTTTTGGGCGCAGTCCATCGTTTGCTATTGCAGCTATGAAGATATCTATTTCCTCTCAAGTCCTAGAGACGGCAAAATTTTCCCGGCGTTTTAGTTTCCCATGATCGAGAAGGGAACACAAAAGTCCGGTCACTAGCAGTTTTCACGCCCATATGTATAAAATGACACGCCTAACTTTATTCTGAGGTTCTGTAACGTCTTTGTGTGACTCTTTCCCCACTGCATACATGGAGGTTGACGGCTTTTGAGCCCTGTAGAGGGGCTACTTGAGGTTGCTGGTGTGAAGAACAGGTAGCTTTCTGCATCCTAAGCACTGATGTTCGGACCACTCATATGAGTTTCTTTTCATGGAATTACATCGCCTCTGGAGTACTCTGCTTTCTTGGTGACAGTTTACCTATCCCTGATATAGATGACAAGCAAATGCCCAGTCCGCCACTGAAACAACTGTAAGGCATATACTACATTCATCGGTCGCAATAATTTTCACATTTCCCGATGGAGCGTAGCTTTTGTTATCGACATAACATTCACGGTTAGCCTGGTGTTTCTACACTAACTTCACCGTTTCTTTTTTATTGACGCAGTTGGCGTAGTCTGGTGATATCTGCAAATGGTCTAGTGGGGCCGGTGCGCATCATGTGAACGATCGTTATGTGTATCTTTGGTACTGGGAGTAAATTCTGTTCGAAGATATCGAAGGTCTGCGTTGCTACTGCTTGCCTCCTGCTAAACTAGGAAGTGTTGTCAAAAAGGACAGTTTCTTTGTTGACGTGGGAATTAGTAACCCTTGTCATTGCCTGTGGTTTGATTTTTCGGATCATGTGGTAGTAGTTGAAAGAGAGGTATAGATGACGGTGGAAAAGGCTTGTAGAAGCAATGCAGGGACCCAACATAGAAGGAAAATTTTTACTGTGGCCTGAGTGTAACAAGCTCATCTGTGCTTGGCCTGCCAGTTTGGGCGTGAGCTCCAGATGCAACCTGGATGGAGACTTTTCAGTGAGTGATTTCCCTAAAGTACCGAAGGTAAAGGCAGTTGGACAGTTGAGACAATCAATAACCACCAGGTGGTGGCAGCTTTATCGATTTTAGGAGCAAACATTGGTTTTTCTAGTTAAGAGGTAACCGTCACACGGTTGTCGAATACGTGGAGTTAGACGAGAGCCACAAAATCTTGGGCCCAATAGGTAGGTCACTCTAAACAAGGTATTCCAAATGTACGATGGTACAAATTAAGAGAGGGATGACAGTTTACGGAACAGATCTAAGCGCATGCACCTTTAGGGGTGCATGCTACTATTCTGTAACGTTTGATCAACCCTACTTGACTTTATGTGCTCTAGTACCTGCTTAACCAGTAACTTAACTAAAGTATAAGTACTGACAATGAAACACAAATCAAAAGAACTGGTTCTGGAGTATATTTGAAGAAGTAATGCATTTAATTAAAGTAAATGTAATAGTAATGAGTGGGGGAAAAGTTTAGTCAACTTATCTGGCTAGTATGGCTGACCTAGGGACTCTGAGTACGTGCGTGGTAACCAGCGCTTAGGAAGCGCAAAATGGTGTCCAAGCATGCTCGGATGCATGCTGGTTAAGACGAAACTTAAAAACGCCCTGAGAATTCGGAGGCGAGTTAGAAGTTTATTTAATTAATTTAATTTGATGTATTTATTTTAGCCCTAGTTATATTTTGGTGCCAAGAAGGTGCACTACATGCTGGTATAAATTTGAGGGTTGGCTGAGTATGTGGTACTAAGGACGCATTGCTTACCCAGCTGCATTTGATCCATCAACCCCTTTCTCTAAAGAACTTCGTATTTCTAAGTGCTAACCAGGGGAGTATTATACGGTAGCATGTTTGTTATCCTCGCCTGCAAGGCTGGCGGTATGTTTGATTGAGTTGCTCTCGCCCGGTTAGTTAACCACGGTTTGAAGGATTGGTTCAACTTCTTTATCATTATGACTAACGACGGCGACCAAGTGTGTTGATCAAATTGATGAGGCTGGAAATCGAGGGACTTTTATACTATAAATTGAAATATACTAACTTGTGACGCCTGAATTTACACTATAGTATATTATAGTTTCACTTGTACAATACGGTTGTTGAGTTAGGCACTCTTTCTTAGGAATCCCTCCATTTTGCTGGAGGCCTCCAAGACCCATTTTCAAAGCTTTTCCGAACATGAGATCCGAAGGATTACTACACAAAGAGAATTACCCATCAAAAGGGCAAAAAGCCGTATGCGTTCACTTTTTTCCTTGGAGATTTCAGTCATTGGATAGCATTACGTGCTAAGTTAACCACCGCTTCACCTGTCAGCAGGCTTGGACGGTGACATATGGCTTTCGCTCATCCAGTTAGGATATGGACTAAGTCGAAACAACGAACTGATTCCGCATCATTCCAACACATTTACTTCCATACTGACTATCTTCCATTTCCACTACTACCATAAATTTAGCTTGGTCTTATGCCGTCTACTGGACGTCTTATCTTTAGTTACCGCACCAACATTAATATTTCTGCCTCCATTATCTCAGCTGTAATCCTCCCGGCTTCTGACTCTAACGATTTCACGCTATTCATTAAGTTTCCGTACATCACTTTTCTTTCCCGTCTTTTCTGGATCTGCCCGTTCCTTCCGATTTCGTTTTCCCTACTTCCGTTCTTTTTCCTCTCCTTTGTTCTTATTTTTTTTTCATTCTTGTTATCCTATTTACGACCAGTCCAAACAACTGTCTGGCGAAGCGACATTTGAGGAACTCGTCTGCAGGGTAAATCACAGCCCCACGAATTCAGCCAACTCCCGTCTAGTCGCGACTCAGGGGAGCGGGTTTGTCTATTATATCAGGATCCAACAAAGACCTGGGACTGTTCCTCAAAGCCTAGAAGCGAGCTCGAAGAAACCAGTTGGTTTATAAAAACTCGTAAGACATATTAGGAACCTCCATTTTGGTATGTTTGTTAGAAATATCACAGTGAAACAGTAGCATTTACTGGTAGCATTTAACATACTAGAATGGAATTACACTCGACCACAGTGCCCAAGTTTTACACTTATATTAATATTAGGAACCTGTTTTCGCTAGCATCTGATGTGCATGCATGGCTTATCATGTGTTCCAGGTGAAAATGTAAGTTCCAGTGGGTGTGAGGCGACATGTCTGAGTGAAACCGGTGGTCAGACTAAATGAGACATAATCGCTTGTTACTAACAGTGTATTCTATGCTAACTTGGCCTTCATCTAGCTCACGTCACTTCACGTTTTACACAGGGTACAGGTCATCTTCATAATTACGGAAAAAATCATTGTCTGCATAGAGACTCAGTTTGTGGAATTATGTGCATTGATACTGGTGGATTCCATGTCTGTGTATGAAATAGAGGGTCTTTATGACATCTTATTCTCGACAATCTTCCTCACTGGAAACTCCCAACCTTCTAGCTACGTCCCTGTCTATGGGACGCCTTCGACCTATCTGGACTTTGTATTTCATCTGTGTACTCGCCAACCGATAATCTATTGTTTCTCAACTTTGCCATATTTTCCATCCAGCTGATAAATATTTTTTTACATGAGTGATTTTCTCACTTTTACTGAACCGTATCATTAACTCTGTCAGCATAAAAACGAAAACTTACATAGTAACAGTGACCAAATTTTTACCGATCAATTTACAAGAGAAAACCTCAGTTGCAATTTATCGCCGAATAGTTGTCGTTATGCCATCATATGGTTTTCACGCACTTAATTATTATTACCAAGGTTCATGTTTTGGTATACTGCTTGTCTTTTCTACTCTTGCTGGCAATAAAACACTAGTCTTGGTCACAGCAGAGTTTTTCTGGAAGATAATCTAGATTTCGAGGGCGTATTCCATCCTTAGCATAGAAATTTCGACTGATGGAAAAGCGGACAAATTAATCGACATGAAACCCCTTCCAAAAGTGCACCAGTCCGTTTTACTATATTCATTTGTTTATTCTTTTCTTCGCATTGGCTGTTGTCATCTTTGATATCATTTTTTGTTTTGATGTGTGGCAACTTAATCCAGTTTACTTCGGTGAAAGGTTTTACCCTGAGTGTTTGTGCCATCAGTTTTCGAACTCATTTTGATGATGAGGATATTCGGGGTATTTTGATTGATAAACTGGTCATGCAGTTAGTGGAAAATAGGTATATTACTGATCGTAGAGAAAATCCACAATACCTGTGGTTTACTGTATAAACAATGGCATAGACCACAATCTCTGTTAGAGTTTAAGATAAACTCGACGGTTTCTAAATTAATGGATGCAGTTTTGTAGATTCCTAGTTCAACAAAGAGCAGAGGCAGCTTGAATTTAGACCCACAAAAAGTTAGTGCAGTGACTAAAGTGGTGGATGCTGGGGGTTACGTATATGAAGAGTACTGATTTTAACAGTCGTGTGGAGTTATTTCAGTGGCAGGCATGAAATGCTTGCTGTTAGTGGGACTACTTTATTATGTCCTATTACACAGATTTATTAAACATTTCTGTAGGTTTGAACAGATCATTTATTACCAGGTAAATAATTCGAAATCCTCGATACAGTAAGCATTCCATCCTTCTCCAACAATTATTGATTGATACGCCGTATGCCATATGGTTTGTCACTTGAATATATACTTCTGTATTAAAGCCATCTGCCACCATTATCAAAGAACTGCTAATTCTAGTTGACATGCATGCTGTTCATATTTGCTCCTTTCAGGATGGTGGTTTTTTTTTTTTTACCTCTATAACTGGATACGAATAAGTTACATCTAGATACCATCATTGTTCAAACTGACCCTTCTGTCTTGTTCACTTGAATCACAAGTGATGTCATACGTGAATATATGTTTGAGCTTGACACATAAGACTCCAGGTGGTACACTGATTATACATTTACTGATATTCATTACTGGTTGAAATTAAGTCGTTATTCACACAAGCCTTAAAATCCAGCCAACCCGTGATGGGTGCCCATGTAACTCCTGAAAGTTTAACTCCATGTTATGCATTCAGTCCCCACTAGCATTTTGTTTCCTTTCAAGTATAAATGGTTGGTGGACTTATTGATTATTGTATTTATTCACAACTGCATCCGCGATCTAGTCTGTCATCATCATCATCATTATCAACATAGGACCAGGCATTACTGCGTAACGGTCCGAGTTGCCACACCTCATATCAGCACATCAAGTAAAAAGGTAGTGAGGTGAAGGATGAAGATAAGTGAATGCAGTCAAAAGAAATATAAAGTACGAAAAAGGAAAGAGGAGTGACAAAATAGTGAGATTCGGTATAGCGTTGTTAAGATGAGGATAATGTGTGTATACATCTGCGCCACTGACTTCGGTTCTGAGCCATATCACCTAGGGTCTCCAACCACTGGTTCCTCTTGTCCCGTGGACCCCAACCACCTAGTCTGCATCGTCCTACATGGCTTAAACCAACAGTCAGAGACTTCATACATTGGTGCCATGTTTTAGTCTGGCCACCTCGGGCCTTTTTCCAGCCTGAACCCACCTCAGCCAACATTGTGTGACGAGGCAATCGGTGACTAGGCATACGTAGTACGTGTCCCAACCATCTCAGTCGATGAAGGTTCACAACCTCGTCGACTGACTTACCTCTTCTCCCTAAAACTCTACACCTAACTTCTGCATTACTCACATGGTGACACCACGGAATACGTCCTATACTACGAAGGCAACGGTGGTCAAACACCTGAACCTTTCATGTCTTCCACTTTCAATGGCCATGTTTCACAGCCATACAGTAGAACAGAGCGGACTGCTGTGCAGTACACGCGACCCTTAATAGACAAACGAATATCACGGCGGCGCCATAGGTGGCGCAAATTGGCAAAAGCCAATCGAGCCTTTTGTATCCGTGCAGAAATCTCATCGGCAACTAACCCACCGGGTTGATCCTACTTCCCAGGTAAGTGAAGTGGTCAACACACTCAACCACTTCACTCTCTATTGTTAACCGCGGTACCGCTGAAGACCAGTCCTGGAGCAAAAATTTGCATTTGGGTGGTGAAAATCGCATCCCAAACATTCTCAAATTCCCACTCAAAGTGTTCAGAAGACTCTGCATCTTGTCAGCGTCTTCACCTAACAGGACTATGTCATCTGCATATTCTAGATCTAAGGAAAATTCACCTGTGATCGGTCAACGTTTGTGTAATTAGGTGACGAGAGGGAAACCTCCATAAGAATATCTATGATAAAATTAAATAAGAATGGGGATAGTGGGCATCCTTGACGGACACCACTTGATGAGTATAGCTCCCTGGACAACTCACCATAGGCTCTAACATGCCCACAAGTGTTCGAGTAGAGAGCTTTCAATAAGGTGATGTACTTACTAGGCACGCCTTTCAGTGACAGACACTGCCATAAGACTTCTCGATCAACGGAGTCAAATGCCGCCTTCAGGTCGAGAAATACAGCTATTGTCGGGCGTCTGTAAGCATGCCTATGTTCCAGGACCTGGCGCAGTGTGAATATTTGGTCGATACATCCACGGCCAGGTCTAAAGCCTGCCTGGTTTTCTCGGGCTTGCTGTTCCCGAGCTCCACTCAGGCGTCGGAGAATTATAGAACTTAGGATCTTAGACACTATGTTTGTCAGGCTGATTCCTCTGTGGTTATCACAAGAGGACTTCTCGCCTTTCTTGAAGACTGGGATGATCAGTGACTTAGACCAGTCGGAGGGGATCGTATTTGATTCCCATATACTGGCTAACACTTCCGTTAGCCTGACTAAGAGAACTCTACCACCATTCTTGTATACCTCAGCAGGTAGTCCGTCTGGTCCTGCTGCCCTTCCCCGTTTCAGGCTACCTACCGCTTTCTCAACTTCTTCTAGTGTTGGGGGACCTGTCTCTATGTCCCATTCAGGGTCCGACTGGATAGCGGGCAGCGCAATGGTGGCTGGAGGCCAGTTAAACTGTTCCTCAAAGTGTTCTGCCCATCGTCCCAGTCGCCTTCCCTGCGAGTGAATCGCAGATCCGTCCTTCTCCGCTATACCTCACTAACTGTTGTTGACCATTTCCCCCCAGTCTCCTTAATAAGTCTAAATAACTGTCTACTGTTACCGATCGCCGCTGCCTTTTCCATCTCTTTAGCCTTTGCTGCCCACCACTGTTCACGATCGTTGCGCAGACTTTTCGTCAGTTATTTTTAAGTTGCGCTCGCTCTTCATTGTACTCAGAGCCTGCAGGGATGCATTCACGTGCATCCATTAGTTTGGAAGAAGCTGCTGATATCCACTGGCTCTTTTTAGCCATTATCTTGGAGTCGGCTACAGTCTCCAGTGCTGCTTTTACAGTAGACTGAAGATGGCACCAAGCTTCTTCTGGATGAGTGACAGTCTTTTGTTCCGATAACTGCCTAGCCAACTTCTCACTGAACACGGCTTTGGTGTTTTCGTTGTCCAGCAGAACTCGTAGTGGTTTTGTTGCCAAATTTTTTCTACGTCCATTGAGACGCAGGCATATACGTGCTCGGACCAACGCATGATCGCTGTCCAAACACGTACTCCAGAAGGAGCGGCAGTCTTCCACCGATCCTCTCCAGCGATGACTAATAGCAATGTGGTCTATCTGTGTCCATCGCTGAGTCGAGCTCGGTGGACGCCAGGTCAGACAGTGCCTTTCTTTATGTCTGAAATTTGTGCTGGCTAAAAATAGGCGGTTATCTGAGCATAGTTGTAATAGGCGATCACCGTTATCTGTACGTTCAGCTGGGATTCCGAAAGTGCCACCTAAGTGCCTTTCTGCCTCACTCAGTCTACCCACCTGTGCGTTGAGGTCACCTGCAACAACCACTACGTCCGAACGTTTGGCTTTCGAGAGGAGGTTAGACAGTTTATGGTAGAACTCGTCCTTCACTTCATCCGAACTACAGTCAGTGGGTGCGTAAGCAGAGATTACAAAGAGACAACGGCGAGTCTCACTATTCCTTTTAGTTCTCACTGTGCCGTTCAGCCTCATAGCGCAGAGGCGACTATCAACTGGGATCCAGTCTAGTAGTGAGTTTTCTGCCCTGGTGCTTAATGCTATACCTACACCTGCAAGACCACGAGAGCTAGCTATCGAATCTCCAGAAACTCGAAGGGTGAATTTTGCGGATTCACCAGATTGGTCAGGAGAGGTCAGGTGAATAACCACACTTGGGTCCTGTATGCGTGTCTCACAAACACAGCACACATCCATGCCCGAGTTGCTAGAGTCTTTGCCAACGAAGCCTGTTGGCCAATTTGACGGAGGGTGCGGACATTGAAGGCTCCAATATGTAATTTGGAGCGTGGTTTAAGGAGACCAGGGATGCTGTTCTGTGGACTCAGATCGTTGTCGAAGGCTGCAGAGGTAGGAGAAATTGAAGATGATGCAGCATCATTAATTAAGAGACGTGAAGGAAGATTAGAAGGTAATGATGGAGGAGGAGGATAGCAGTCAGAAGAAACTTGGGTGCTGACAGAGTTGTGAGGGCGGTTGACACTTCCCGGCTGCCCACACCGTGGAAGGCTATTTCTTCTTAAGGTACCTGAAAGAGATTTGTGTGACCGCAGAGCCCATCGGACATCTGCTTGAGGCCTGTCACACCCAGCCTTTTGAGTATGATTATTTTGAATTTTGTATTTTTGGGGCCGGATGGTCGAAAGGAAACGACAAGTGAACCAACACCGCCGGCCCGGCAGACCGTGGGGCGTGGTGGAGTGTGTTATTTTTGGGGCCGACCTTTTCTAACCCCCCCTTCCACTGAGAAGGCAGCATCAGCATGGCACTGCTGGTCATCCAAGGGAAACACCTTACTGCTGTCACACCCCATCCAGCTAGCAGCAGTACGACTTCGCCCTCAGACCCCCATCATAGTGTAGCAATTTACACTATAACGGTAACTGCTTTTCGTCTAACCACTACCCAACAGACCTTTCTGGTATGGTAGGACCTCGAGGGAACAAGCGTTCCACCAGCATAGCTCGTTGGGTCATTGTGATATGCAAGCCCGACCACCACGTCAAGGTAGCAGCTATCGGTCGGGATCTAGTCTGTAGAAGAATAGGAAGATTTGATAAGTAAGCGTCGTTCTTCTTGTTAAGTACTACTTACTCTGAGTGAAGCTTCTAATATGAATAGATAGACAAAGTAGAATCTCACAAGTGCAACGGTCCAATTAGCCACATTTCACAGCAGTATGCGAAACCCAAGTGAGAAGAATGGTGTTTGAAATGAAATGGGGAGCAACCAATTTCATTTTGTCTAGTCTTGAGTACTAACTGGATTCTGTCTACCATTTCACAAGGTAATCTTCAGACTAGAAGATTTCCTATCGCTGTTCAATTTGATGGATGTTATTTCCCTGGAGGCACTTGGCAGGAAATCCTGGACCTAAGTTTCGTGCTTGTTGACACTCGTCACTGCTAACTCCTGTGAGATTCGAACCTGTGTAACCTAGTATTGCAGTCGGAAATGTTATTTATGTTCAGAGCTCTCTGCTGATTGCCTCTAACCGACTTACAACGAGTGGTATCAAAGTAGACAGGTATATGAGGGTTGGTAAGAATGTTCACGCTTTCGGCGACGGCGAAGGGGGAGCTCATCTACACTATTTTAACCGATTTCCAGCCATGTCGCCAAAGGTGTCCGACCGTTGATTGCTACCTTCTCGGGGAGCTCTATGCCTCCTTACATGGTTAGGACCAAAAGTCAGACTTCATGGACCGGCTTCACGTCTTGGTTTGGCTGCCCTTAGCCTTCTGTGTCATATACCAGCTTCACGTAGTACACTACGCAGTTTTAGTGGCCATGTAATCAAACAGTTTTTATTTTTTTTAAAGTGCACACTTGGTTGTTGCATGGGCACCAAAAAATGTGCCACAAAATTTTATGACGATATTACGATGACAAGAGAGATAAAAAGAAAAATAATGGGTTAACAGACCAGCCAGTCCCGTGGGTTATATTCAAGTTGGCGTTCACTCTTCTGTTCAATTTTTGATAGTTGAAGAAACACGTAGGCTAAGGCATAACCACCATTTGTTGTCATTCTGAGCCATGTCTGGTAAGGCACTAAACCTGTTTTTCAGATAAAATATAAATACATACCCTTCTTCAAGTGGCTTAGATATATTTTATTGAGTCACCGTAATAATTGACTCAGCGTCTAGTATTTATCCAAAACGTGGATTTTTAATATTCAGTATTCCTTAACCGGAAAAGTAACACCTCATATGTTCTGCAGAATTGTGTTCCCAGCGCAAATGAATTTGTGTGTTTATTAATTATTTTATAGCTAATGGAATTACGTGTTGGCAATAAATATCGCCTTGGTCGTAAAATTGGTAGTGGGTCTTTTGGAGAAATTTATCTAGGTAAGTTCAGGGGAAAACTTTACCTATGAGTGAACTTACATATTTTCCGGGATTTCTTTCATATTCGACTGACAGCTGCTGCATGAATGTGCTAGTTGAGTTTATCTGTCTCACTATATCGATGAGCTATGCTGGCTAGAACGATTGTTGCTTGATGTCCTATCATGCCGAAAAGGTTCGTTAAAGTGGTAAACCTAAAAGCAGTTACCCTTATGGTATAAATATGCTACACATCCACAGACCAAGAGTGGTTAACCAATTGACCTCATCTGACCAGTATAGTGAGTCTTCGACATTGGATGACCAGTTCTTGTGGACTCACCAGTTCTCGGTATAACAGTAGACTCCATAGTTGATAGCGCAGTGCCTGAATGAATACCAATCGATAACCATCCGTGTATTGTTTGTTTGAATGAATCTGTTGAAAACAAAGTATCGGGGTGTTCGTTGATGCCTGTTTTGTATTCTTGGCCTGCATACCCATCGACTGCAGTTCTGACGATGACACAAAGAATGAATCGTGTCAAAAGCTGCCAACTTTGCCGTGTGAATTAAAACGCCCATATCTAATCAAGTAAAGAAGCTGAGTCAATCAGAAAGGCACCTAGGAGATATTTAGGGCACTTCATACCAATAAATTATCAGCAATGATCGTCTCACAATTTTGTTTTGAAAACCATTTTTTCCCAGTCACCACATTAACATCGAAATAAGGAGAGAAATTGTCTCACTTAGGGTCCACTGAACCCCAACCACTGATGGGAATAAATAATTTATATCATCATAAACCATCGTCGGAGACGTTTGTTGAAGGATTACTACGCTTTCTAGAGTACCTGCTTGAACTCTGATCACGCGTTAGTGTGACTAAGTGGATGTTTCCACTTTAATGGTTGCAGGTTAGGTCTGTGTCTGTTCGATCGGATGATAGGAAAGTGAGGCAAGTATTTAGTTAGGCAGTATCTATGCACTCGTCTGCACGTGACACCAATCCTCATCCTGAGGAAACGTGGTGTGATATTCCGTTCCCAGTAAAAACAACAGTAAACAGTTGGTAACATGCATCGAAAGGTTAGCAGACGTCAATGGATTTCCACAACCTCATCCGAACTGATTGATGCGAGAAAACTCATTTCAGCTGGTTCTGACCACAATGAAGAGTGAAAGCAACTTAAGTGTAAATTGACCAAGAGCCTTCGCAATGATCACGAGCAGTGGTGAGTGGCGAAGGCAAGACATGGAGAAGGTATCAGCACTAGGTAATACCCACCAATTATTTAGACTTATTATAGGTACCTGTAAGAAGAAGACGATGGTGAGTAAGATAATCACCAAATGGGATGTAATCCTGATGATGTCTGACAAAAAAACCACTAAAAAGTGGGACGAAACACTTTGAAGCCCAGTCTAATTAGCCTTCACCAACGCTTCAGTTGCCATCAGCTAACCCCAACCTTAATCGGAAGTAAATGTTGTTCTTCCAACTCTTCTCGGAATTGGGTAGGCTGCTTCAAACCTGAAACGATGCAAAGCAACATGATCGGATGGTTTGGCGCCCGAAGGTTTTAAGGAAGGAAGTGGAAAATTACTGAATAGATTAACGGGGTTACTAGGCAGCGTGTGAGAGTTGGAGGTAGTCCCGTCAGACCGGTCTTTACTGATCATTCCGGTCTGTCAGGGGAGAGAGAAGTTTCTTGTGACAAACAAAAGGGAATCAGTTTGACTAACACCCTATCCAAAATGCTTGGAGCCATAGTTATTCGATACTTGAGTAAGGCTGGACAAAACCAGACAGTTTTCTTAGCTGCGTGAGGGTGCATCGATAAGATCGTCAACTTTTTTCTGATTATGGAGCACAGGCATACCGGCGGCTGACACTTGCTATATTCTCTTACCTGAAGGCAGTATTTGACTGTGTCGACCGTGAGGTGTTGTAACAGTGTCTGACTGGGAAAAGAGTACCAAACAAGTGTGTAACGAAAATCAAAGTTGTCTACTCATACTCATGTAGCCAAGTCAGGGTTTATGGATAGTAGTCGTCAGAATTGATGACAACTAGTTGAAAATGCAAACTCCACATCTACCAGGTTTTATTGGTAGCCCCTAGTACAGATATACCTTATTGCCCAGTAAATAAACTTATAATTGTGTGCTGAGTTGTGCTACTTATAGTTAATTGTAGCCTATTGTTTTGAGCTCTTGAATTTTACATAATCAGTTGAGGTTCCAGTCCTGCAACTCCTTATGTGTGTTGGCGAAGTGTCATTAGATTTCACACAACGATTATGGTTAGTGTGTATGCTTATTCTGTATTATCACATATTATCTTATGATATTCAATAAATGATATGTAATTACAGCAACTTCAAATGATCTGAATTACATCATAGTTGAAATACAAACTACATTTGTCCATTTTTAGTGCTGAGTTATTTAGTACTGGAGACCATTCACTAGGAAATTGTGCTACACTTAAGTTTCTTGTTTCCTGATACTCATCACTGATGTGTATATGTAGCATCTCAGGGCTTTCTCAGAGAGACATCGACAGACAATATTAACATGGGACACGACGTTACTGCGTATCAGTCAGAGTTCTCACAACTTAAACAACTGCGTCAAGTGAGAATGCACTAAGATGAATGATCAAGAAACAAACAAGAAAGTGGTCAAAACTGGTGGGAAGAGAGAGCAAGAAAAAATGAGAGAGTACCAAAATTCTGTATGACGATTAAGATGATAATGTGTGGATACACCGGCACCACTGACATCTATTCTAAGCCTAGAGTCTAAAACCACTGGTTTCTGCTGTCGCGCAGACCTCAACCAGGAAGTCTACATTTCTGCACATGACTCAATCTAACAAAGATTGAATAACTGGTGCTATGTTTTAGTCTGCCCACCTCTACCCTTTTCCAGCATGAACCCACTTCAGCCAACATTGTTCGACGTACCAAACGGTAACTAGGCATTACGTAACACATGTCCCAGCCACTTAAGTTGATGAAAGTTGCCAGCCTTATCGACTGACTTTCCTCCCTGAAACTCTGCACCCAACTTCCACGTTACTGATATGGTGACACCATGACACGGCCTTTGCTGTAAAGGTAAACGTCTAAAGCTTTCTGACGTCTTCTACCTCTAGTCGCCGTATTTCACAGCCATAATAAAACAGCCGACTGCAACGCAGTGTACTTGACCCTTAATAGACGGTCGGATATCATGGCGGCTCCATAAATAGCGTAAATTGGCGAAAGCCAATCGTGCCTTATGTATCGTTGGAGGGATTTCGTCGGCCACTGACTCACCAGGTGTGATCCGACCTCCTAGGTTAATAAAGTGGTCAACGCGTTCAACCATTTCACTTACTGTTGTCAGACAAGGTACTACTAAACACTGGTCCTGAAGCAAAAGCTTGCATTTGCGTAGCGAGGAACACATCCAAAACACTTCACGTACCACTTAAGGTGTTCAGAAAACTATGCATCCTGTCAGCATCTCCTAACAGGGCTATCTCATCTCTATAATGTAGATCTTCCCAGAATTCTCCTGTGATAAGATCAGTACCCATGAAATCAGACAAAGAGAGAGAGACCTCCATAAAAACGTCTGTGAAATATTTGAATAAGAATGGAAAGAGTGGACATCCTTGTGGGACATCACTTGGCGTACACAACACCTGATAACTCACCATAGGCTGTAACACGCTCACGAGTGTTTGATTACAAAGCCTTCAACAGAGTAATGTACTTGCGTGATACTCGTTTCAGTGTGAGACATTCCCATAAAACCTCTCGATCGTTGGGGTCGAATGCCACCTTCAGATCAAGAAATACAACTAGTGTTAGACATTGGTAAGTGTTTCTGTGTTCCATAACCTGGCGGAGAATGAATATTTTTTGTTCCTGACCTACACTTAGACGTCTGATAAATATAAAACCTAAAATCTTAGACACTTCGTGAAGTTGATTTTTCTGTTTGTCACTACTTCCCACCGTGAATACTGGGACAGTCAGTTATTGAGACCAGCTAGAGGAGATCATATCTGGCTTCTATACACCACCTAACGCTTCATTTAACCGTAGTAAAAGTCCTCTGCTGTCGTCATTAAGTACTTCTGTTACTAGTCGGCCTGATCTTGCTATTGTTCTTCCTTCAAATTGCTTACGTCTGAGTGGAGCTCGGGAACAGCAAGCCCGAGAAAACCAGGCAGGCTTTAGACTCGGCCGCGTGTGTATCGACCAAATATTCATACTGCTCCAGGTTTTGGAGCACAGACACGCATACCGACGCCCGACAATAGCTGTATTTCTCGACCTGAAGGCGGCATCCGACTCCGTTGATCGAGAAGTCTTATGCCAATGTCTCACTGAAAGGCGTGCCTAGTAAGTACATCACCTTATTGAAGACTCTCTACTCGAACACTTGTGGGCGTGTTAGAGCCTATGGTGAGATTTCCGGGAAGCTGTGCCCGTCGAGTGGTGTCTTTCAAGGATACCCACTGTCTCCATTCTTATTCAATTTTATCATAGATATCCTTATGGAGGTCTCCCTCTCATCACCTGATTACATAGAGGTTGACGTAATCGCGCGAGAATTTTCGTCAGACCTAGAATATGCAAATGACATAGTCCTGTTAAGTGAAAATGCTGATAAGATGCAGAGTCTTCTGAACACTTTGAGTGGGAATTTGAAAATGTTTGGGATGCGTTTCTCGCCACCCAAATGCGAATTTTTGCTCCAGGACTGGTCTTAAGCGGTGCCACGGCTAACAGTAGAGTGAAGAAGTTGAGTGTGTCAACCACTTCACTCACCTGGGAAGTAGGATCAACCCTGATGGGTCACTTGCCGATAAAATCTCTGCACGAATACAAAAGGCTCGATTAGCTTTTGCCAACTTACACCACCTGTGGCACCGCCGTCATATCCGATTGTCTATTAAGGGTCGCGTGTACTGCACGGCAGTCCGGTCTGTTCTACTGTATGGCTGTGAAACATGG